TCTGCTATTACTACCACTAATACTACTGCTATTACTACCACTAATACTACTGCTATTACTACCACTAATACTACTGCTATTACTACCACTAATACTACTGCTATTACTACCACTAATACTACTACTACTACTGCTATTACTACCACTAATACTACCACTACTACTACTGCTACTGCTATTACTACTTCTACTACTACTAAGAATAAAAATAAGAACAGATAGGCAAAACGTTTCTCAGATTTGGGTTTTAGAGACTGGTTTTATTAAAGCAAAGCTGGCCCAAGCTCTGTTGTTTTCCCTAAGGTTTTTAATTTATGCATGTAACAATCATAAATGCTGTGTACCGTTTAGTATTTGATCATATTGTTTGTGTATTCCATAAATTCATTTCATGATGCTCTTAAATCATATTAACAAACTTTTCTGACTCAGAACACTTTTAACAGTGCCAGTGTAGGAAAATTTAAATCACTAATAATAACAATGAACAAGCAATAGCTTATTACATGGCAATTAGCTTTCAGCTCTGTGTTTGGCTATTATATGTGAACATATATGTTGCATGTAAATACACATTAGACCTGAGTGTGTGTGTGTGGAGTAAAGTGTGAATGACTGTGTGTGTGTGCAGAGTGGATAGAGGAGCACTCGGCTGCAGCAGCTCCTTTGGCAAACTACGCTCCAAACCACCTGGAGACCTACAGGGACCCACAAGTCCCTCCAGCTCTACCTCCAGGACCTGTTGGCATCAAAAGTAAGTTTTTAACCATCAAATACTTGCATTTTTTTTACGACAAATGTTTCATTCTTTACAGAAGTAATTTTATACTTGCTGATAGGTTTGCATGGGAGCAGAGCAGCTGACTCCCAACAGTCACAGCTTTATTTTTCCCTCAGCTGAAGTTTTTCCCAGTTATGTAGATTGAGTATATGAACCCAAGTTAAGGCTTGTTCCTTCTGCACTCTCCAGGAGGGAAACCTTTCTTCACAAGAAATCCAGCAGAGCTGAAGGGAACGTTCATCAACACAAAGCTGAAGAAAAGTCACCGTGGATTTGGCTTCACTGTGGTCGGAGGTGACGAGCCCGACGAGTTCCTGCAGATCAAAAGTCTGGTGCTGGATGGACCTGCGGCTGTTGATGGCAAGATGGAGACAGGTGCAGTACACAGCCATCATCCACAGAAGGCGCTGTTTTCAAATCAACAACACACTCTGAGTTGATCATTGAAATTCCTCTGCACTGCTGCTGCCACTACTCTCTTGAGCCGTCACAAAATGTGCAACATGAATTTGACTTTAAAACCAAAAAGTGAAGCTAATGATCTCATCTTCCTCTTTGCAGGTGATGTGATTGTCAGTGTGAATGACACTATTGTGCTGGGCCACACCCATGCTCAGGTGGTGAAGATCTTCCAGTCCATCCCCATCGGCTCCATGGTGGACCTGGCCTTATGCCGTGGCTACCCTCTGCCCTTTGACCCGGACGACCCTAACACCAGCCTGGTGACCTCGGTGGCCATCTTGGACAAGGAACCCATCATCGTCAATGGGCAAGAGACATTTGACACGCCGGCTAACCAGGCTGGACTCCTTAACAGCTTGCGTGAGCCGCGGCCTCTCAGCCCTTCTGCCGAGGTGGCGTCTAACGGTTCCCACGGTTACTCCAGCGATGTGGTCACCCTGGCTTCGTCCATAGCCACCCAGCCTGAGCTCATCACCATCCACATGGAGAAGGGGGACAAAGGTTTTGGCTTCACCATTGCTGATAGCCTCACAGGAGGAGGCCAGAGGGTGAAGCAGATAGTGGACTATCCACGGTGCCGCGGCCTGAAAGAGGGGGACATTCTGATGGAGGTCAACAAGAGAAATGTCCAGAATATGAGTCACAATCAAGTAGTGGATCTGCTGAGCAAATGTCCAAGAGGCAGTGAGGTCACCATGTTGGTGCAAAGAGGTGGGCATCTTATTGTATTTTTTTATCCCTCACTGCAGAAAGCTCTTATGTATGTGTGTTTATGTTTGCTTGTCTGCCTAAGCCAGGGATGGGCAACTTAAATGATGTGGACATTACCAGAGGGACACACAGCGCTGCACACTTACCACATGTAATAAAACTGCCATTTAAAAAAAAAAAAAAAACGTGTCTTTGCAGTAGCGGCACCAGAAATCTTTTTCTGCATGTGCTAACGGGAGGCTAAGCATTTTACTGTGGGTGCTATGAAGGATATTTTTCTACTCTATAGTTATCCACACACACACACACACACACACACACACACACACACACACACACACACACACACACACAGGTGCACTAAAAACTCTGACATCAGCAGTCTCCAATACAATGGATAGTGAATAATGTGGTATTCTGCAATTCATTTAAAGCAAATCATTTTTTGTTGAAATTAGAATAGTTTATTTTTTTCTTTTTGTCTTTAGAGGAAAATACCACAACAACTACATATTAAAAAAATATTAGATTAGGAAAAAAAATAAAAATTTCCTGGGGGTGCTATGGAGGTGCAATGACGTTTGCAGGGGGAGCTATAGCGCCCTCTGGCGCCACCACTGTATATATGGTTTTTATAACCAACATACAGTGTAGTAACTTAAAATTTGCCAAGCGCAAATGCACTTGAATACTTATTTAACAAATACTGATGCAAAACTTTTGAAGCAATCAAAAAATAAACACTTAATTTAGCGAGCTGAAGCGCAGCGGCACAAACTACATTGAATGCAGACTCCTGTGTGGTTGTAGCTCTAAAGATTTGCTGATGTTTATGTACTTGTGACTTCAGTAAACGTCTCATATTTAGTTTTGTGCAACATGTTGTAGTTGTGACTTATATTAAAATCCTTCATAGCAGACAGAGTCTTAAACAGACTGAGCATAGGTTTGCCTTGAAATTCTGTGAACAGTCTACCTCCTAAAATAAAAATCATTAAAAAAAAACAAAAAACGTATAAAACCACCCTTAAAGCAGTTCTTAGATAATTATTAGTGGACTGGACAAAGTCACCCGAGGGCCACATATAGCCTGCGGGCCACCAGTTGCCCATCCCTGGTCTTAGCAACTTTAACGAACATAAAATTGACTATAACTTGGCCAGTTTTACACATATTGAGCTAAAGTCTGACATAGTAGTAACTACAAATCATCCTCAACACAATAAGCACTAACACATTTTATGAGTTACGGTTATAATGTTGTGCAACAAATCATTTCAAAGGTTGGACCGAAATGGATACATCATTTGTTAACAGAAGGTCGTCCTGCTTTAAAAATCTGGCATGAAAACTGTCACACAATATGTCTTTCTTCAACGAATGCTGGGCCTTAGCAGGTGGAGAGGGGAGTGCTTATAGAAACTAAAGTTTGGACACAAAAAGTTGCCAGATCAAAAAGCACAAATGAGCGTACTTTAGCTCACTGAGCAGACAACAGCTTGAAGAGCTGGCATGCTGAGAGTGACGTGATGAAATAGCGGGAGAGAAAAGTAAGGAAGAGCGTGGGCGACAGGTTGAAAATCCTCGGTCTGGATGGGATGAAATGGGAAGAGGTGTGGAGAGATGGCAGGAAGAGGCAGAAGTGGAAGAGCGGATGAGTGTGGTGATGGAGTGGGAGGACAGGTAAAGAGTCAAAATGGATGGATGAGAGGGGGGGAAGTGCAGCACATTAGGTCAGGGCTCGTGCATCACCCCTAAATGTTTGCTGGTGGGGTGCAGTGTTTTCATATGTAAATAATCTCTGAAATGAATAAATAGATCAAGACCTGCCCTTGTTGTTTCTGAATTTAGATTTTTTTTTTACAATAATTGTTCTTGTAATAATTATTGATGTTGTTTTTTAAATCATGCAATGCTCTTTATGATGGTGGCTCTGTTGCTCAGCTGTTTGCCAGATTTCTGTTAATCTCCGTTTTTAATCAAAAAGAAAAGTTTGTTAAATATTCAAACAAACACAGAATCATATCTGAGGTCATTCATCTGTGTTTAAAACATATTTTTTAACACAATCCCATTCACGCTGAAGCTGATCTGTATTGGTGGCAGGTCGGGAAACGCACCCCCACATCAATTATGTCCTGTAATGAGTTGACCTTGTGCACTGCTGCTGGAATAACACTGCTGTATTATATGAAATGTCAGCATCATTATGAACTCATGTGTGTGTGTGTGTGTGTGTGTGTGTGTGTGTGTGTGTGTGTGTGTGTGTGTGTGNCATTAAATTCCAGTGAAATATATTTATGTTTGTGGTTGTAATGTGACAAAATATGGAAAAGTTCAAGGGGTATGAATACTTTTGCAAACCACTGTATGTGTACAAATTACTGTAACCTCACATTATTTTTTTAAGTCATGTACAAGTAGATTGACTAAGTACCTCTGTACATACGCAGTTCAAAATGCTTTGTTTTTTTTCAGTTGCTGAATTTATATGACAGTTTTCTTTAGCTTTTTGCCTCTACGAAATATATATTCATTGTGAAGTCAAAGAAACCTTTCCATACAATTCACAAAAAAAAAACAAAAAAAAAAAAGAAGAAAACTAACGTTCTCACTCAAAACACCTTTTCGTGTAAAGGAGGCCAGCTATGAACTCCTCCATCTTGTCTTTCCATCGTTGTTGCTATGACGATCTTGCAGAGCGCTTCTGTCCCCCGAGAGACAGACAGAACCGAAAGAGGAGAGAAAATGAAAAGACAGAAGGGAGAGAAATGAAATGAAGGTGGAGGACTGAATATATCATGACAGCTGATGCAGAGCAAGACGACGTCACTTTGAGCAGATGAAGGCGGAGGACAATCGGATAATGGGATGATCTTTAAAGTAAAAGCAAGGACAAACGCTGATGAGTTTTGTTCAACAAAGCCAAACATTACTCATGTTGCACTTGCTTTAAAAAAAAAGCTTATAGAAAACCTGGAGGAAGAACTATTCACTGACTGTGTGGGCTTCGCTCGGAGCCACCAAGGCCACAGCCTCAGCAGCAGATTGAAACAGAGGACTGTTCAAAGAGCCTCGCACTCACACAGGAAAAATACTTCATGTCCACCTAAAACCATCTAAATGCTGTTTAGGTTATTTATTGCTGCTCATGAGTGTACACAGGACACAAATCGACGCTCGTCTTTCACAGTTATCCTTTCTTGATGGAATATGACAGATGGGCAGAAATATTTTTAGAGCAAATTTAGAAATAAGTAGGCCTCTCACACTCCTACATCAACTGAAGTGTTTACACACGATTTATCGCCAAAGATCTCTAGTTTGTTAGCATCGTTTACCATAAACCTGTGAGCAATCAACATCTGTACTACTGAACTAGAGCACAGAACACCTCATGAGTTCTTTAGTGACAGCTAACGGTACCCAGAGGAACAAAGGATGTCGTCTTCTTTACTAAACCCCAGCTATCCAAAACAGTCAACTTCCTGATCTGCCCTCGACTGTTCACTACCTCTCTGTGAAGCTGATCTCACAGCACTGACAGGTGAACTGTTAGGCTCCCCTATTTTTCAATACAGAAAATGATCCTGATCCTTTGTTTTAAACACAAACCACTTCATCCTCTCCCACTGCTTGAAGGCCAGTAGGGTTTTGTCAAAATCAGCAGCTGGTTTTGTTGTAGATCAGGGGTCTGCAACCTGTGGCTCTAGGGCCACATGTGGCTCTTTGGTCCCTCTACAGTGGCTCTTTGAAAATGTGACCAAACATAACAGAATTCTTTTTGTTTGTTTTTATTCCCACAACAGAAATCAATTTGTAAACATATACGTGATCAATATTACCAATGCAAAAAGTAAAACATGTTAGCTCATGCTAGCCTTTTGTTTACTTAAATAATCCAACTTTTGTCTTTCTCTCAAATCCATCAGAATTACCTTTAAAGAATATTAAAAACTAAGAATTAGAAGAAAAAAAGCCTGAATAATTCAGTTGTACTATTTTTTATGAAATTAGGTATAAACTATATAAAGTATTTTTCTTGTTTACATGAATATAATCTTTTTATTTGTCCTGATGGGTAAAAAATAATAATAAAAAAATAAAATTCGCCATATATTTTTTAGTTTTATAATGCCACCTCCACTGGCCGTAAAAGTTCCTGAAAAGGCCTAGAAAAGGCCCACAGACCACCAGTTGATAATCACAGTTGTAGCTTGTTTTGCGGCTCTGGACACATTTTATTACTGCGTCAGTAGCAGAAATGGCTCTTTTGATTGTAAAGGTTGCAGACCCCTGTTCTAGACGAAGTAGCAGTGCCAGTGACGACTGCTCCACATTTTCACAAATCTAAACTTAGCACAAAAAGTGAGGACATTTGTGTTTGGTAAATCAGAGGTTCTCAAACTGGGGTTCCAAGACCCCCCAGGGGTCCACGAGTTGTATTTTAGGGATCCTCAAAAAAATTACAGTAAACATTTTTTTTGTTTAAAAATGCATAAATACTGTACATACGGGGGAACAATGCACCAGTAAAACAAACAAACACAATAATAATTCCCATGACATTTAGGGTTTAAAATGGCAGGAAATCATTTAACAGCTTGAGGTTTCTGAGGGGGTCCCTGGAAAATGTTCCCTCATGTAAAGGGTCCTCAGACCAAAAAAGTTTGAGAAATCCTGTGGCAGATTATTTCTTTGCCTTTTGACAATAAATCGTATTGCGTTGGAAAGCCTGCTAATTTCTCTTTTAAATGGTACTGCATTTGTAAGGAAGATGCATTTGTAGGAAGAGTAGTAGTGCAGAGAATGTGGGTTGCACACATGAAAATTTAGCAAAATCTTCTCCGCCAAACTGCTTTTGTTGTTATTGACACTTGTTTTAAGCTTCTGGTACCCCCAGGTGCTGCCAATCGCGGTGCCCAAAATAAGATTTATTGCCAAGATACATTGCTACAACAAATAAATAATGCACAAAACACAAATGTACCTATGTTTTT